AACAGGTACCTGTTAAAACAACAAATGTCAAGAGGATAAATATAGAGTGCTGTGAACTCTCTAGACAGTCATAGTCATTATTCAACATTCAAGAGCAATTATAAAAATATATCCACCTTTTACCAGAAAATAGGAGGGCATTTGTTTTGTAAAGAAATTGTCTTAAAAAATGACTCGCTAGAGCTAGCCCAAGGATTGCCTTCTCAGCATCTATGCAAATCCCAGGAGAAACAACTCCCCAGTACAAAGAAAGGTAAGAAAAAGAAAATAGTGAGATTGTACGAGTGATTTTTAATTTCTCTCTCACACCTGGGTTCTCCAGAAAAATGTTATCTACATATTAATCAACAGTGGCACATGAACAGCTGTTTATATCTGGCTATATTTCATAGTTAGAGGACTCCAAGACATACTGGCAAGGAGGCTCATTTATGTATCTTAGCAGAAAATGGTTTTTCACCATAGCTGCTGATTGTGATCACAGAGAAAGCCTGGAGTGTTATAAGCCAGTACTTGGTAGCCGTGTTGGTGTGAGACAAAAAGACTTACAAGAAACTAGAACTCTTGTTTCCAAAATTATACCTTTTATTATACCTTTTATTAGACCAACTGGAAAATGGCAAGAAAATTGTCCTTTTCTGCAAGCTTTCGGGATTAAAAACCCTTTGTCAGGCTCTGGGAAAAGTGTAGATGGTACAAGATGGTAAAAAGTCCCCATAGGTAGGAAAAAAACTTCATTTTTGCACAGAGGGAGCTGGAGATGGAAAGCTGTCCCTCTGGGTCCATGAGGGTGTCTTTGACCGAAACCCCGAGTAGCTCTGGAGTGTTATAATACACTAATCAGACTTTTCCAATAAGCTCCCTATGCCTTGCATAAGCATCTCAGGAGAAAGGAGGTCCACAGTAAAACAAGAATGTGATTGAAAGACTCTCCTGTCCAAATGATCTTTGAGGAGCAAATTTTCAACTTTTTGAGAGCTCCTTATGCAGGGTACAGAGAAGATGATTGTCCACTGTCCTACTAATTCGAACCTATTATGTGCTTTAATCAATGGGAGAGAGAAGCTTGAACATAAAACTACAGCTTTTTCTTGGTTTTTAAAAACTTATCAGTGTATAACAGAAGCTATCCAGCAATGGAATTGGCTGGCACAGCTTTTTTAGTATAAACACTGATTAAGATATCTCCTTTTACACGTAATTATACACAGCATTTAAATAATCTTTGATAAATATATGGTCAGATTACAAAGTTCTGAAATATATCTCTTAAAACTGGGCCATCAAATGAATATATGTCAAAAATAGTTAAAAGTTATGCTAGAGGTTAAAACACATACGAAGCTTTGTTATTTTGTATAAAAATGGTGTGAAGGAACCACTGGCCATGTCCAGACGAGTGTGGCCATGCAGTATGTGGCACCGCAGACAAGTCTATGGTGCCACATACCACATGTTCAGATCTCCGCACTGGTGGGAGGAGGGAGGTTTTGACCCCTGGAGGGAGGTGTTTGACCCCTGGATATCCAGGGGTCAAAAAAACCCCTGGAATAAAAAAGCAGAGTGGCAGAGCAGTGCACATGCGCCACTCAAAACCAGAGACTGGCTGGCCAGAGCCACACTCCAGCTCCCGGCCAGGCTCTCCGCAGTAGGATCACCACTGCTGCAGTCCCAGTAGGTCCCCAGGACCCCAGTAAGGCGGCTCAGGCCAGCCCAGTGCTGGCCCTGGCATTTTCTTACCCCACCCTGGGTAACCTGCCACGCACCAGAAGGCATGTGGCACCAGGGTTCCCTAGGGACAACTAGCGGCACCACAAGGTGCAGCGCTGCTAGTTGTCCCTGGGGAACCAAACATCCATGTACATGTGGACACAGCCATTAAGTCTTGTTTTGTGATGGTATACATTAACATACTTATGGATGTGAAATAACTTTATTATTCTTGCATACTGTTTTACACGTATCTAGGGTTTGTAATATTGTGTTATAGCTTGTGCATTCTATCATTCTAAGGTTACAAGATACAAATACTCCCTGTGGCTAAGTGCTTGTAATTAAACACAGTGCTGGAGAAGAAGCTAATTAAAAAAATGTTTTGATGATAGCAGCATAATACTTAATAACCTTTGTAGTGATGCAGCTGTGCAGAAAATATAAAATTTGCTAACTTTTCGTGTGAATGTGTGCATGACTACATGTGCATGTGTTTGCAAGCACTTAGAAACAAGGATGACATAGTAATTAGCAGAATGGCTCTTAAAGTCTCAAAAGACTAAGAAAGTGAAGGATTTGGGGTTTTGATGCAGGAACTGGATTCACTGCAGAGGTCAAAATAAAAAGGAAGATCTGATCACATGCAGTAGGACCTCACTAATATACTTGATTTTCATATTCTCTTCTGCATCCATTCATCACATCCTGCTACTCTGACTTGATCCATGGGGCTCTCAAAAGTCATTATTGTCCTAGCACAAAGGCAATTCTGTATGCTTCCAAAGAAGATCACAGTTTTCACAGACCTCAAAGGTCAGCCCTATGACTCAAAGGTTAGACATAGGCCACAGTAGTCGATGCAATAAACCTATAATTAGAAATTTTAAAATTAATGAAGCTTGATGGCAAGAATGGTATAGGTTGTATAAAAATAAAAACACAGGTCCCTCCCTGCAAAATGGTCTTAAAATAAACCTATAATTTTGGTGATCAGTTTACGATGATTTGTATCTTCAAAGTTATCATTGTAAAATATGAGGCTTTAAAAAACAAATCCCCTCATGTTTCTGAGTTGCTCAAGTAAGTTGTGTGATTCTTAAAAGTCAGCTTGTAAGGTGATCATTGGTTCTTATGTTGGGATGTATTTACTCTTGAATTGGGGTCAGCCTCCAAGCCTGTACTAGCCAGAATGATGAGATGCTTCATAAGGCCAGGACTGAGAGGGTTATGTTCATGAAGCTCAGCTGTGGGTGTTGCAGGTGCTTTTGCAGCACCACACACCCACATGCACG